GACTTGGAAGGATATTTATATGTAAGTGTTCCATCTCCCAGTACATTCCTCAGACTAACTGTGTAAGAAAAGCTTGTCTATCACAGTATAATGAAAGCAGGAATAATCTTGTCTGCATTATCCTTCATTGCTTTCTGTTGAAGAACGACTGAAGCATTTCAATACCTTGAGGAGGTCAAGCCACTTGTCCATGCCACAAAGACGTGGCAAGCATGGAGAACAACATTATGACAAAGACCTGTTTTAAATGACGCCACTAGATCTACGTATATGAATACACAATCATGCGAACCGGTGTTTTTATAAATTGAGGTTTGCCTTCTGTTTAGAAATCATTCCATGCACACACGTACATCTGGATAGAATCAAGAGTTCAAGAAAACAGAACTGAGAAAGTTAGTGAGGAAAACGGAAAAGTAGACAATGTCTTGATTAGGGTAGGAAATTTAATTTAACGTACAACAGAATCGGAGATTCTAACTATTTTTTTTTCAAGCTCAGAATAACAGCTTTCCCAACCATTTGGGATTTGCAATGTACCATGTAATACACGTGTTTAATATTAGTGAATTTTGACATGTTCTAGGTTCCAATTTCCTTCTAAAAAAAGAGTTTCGTTGTCTTCCTTTTGTTATTTGTGCAAGTTGAATGCCAAAAAATTCAATAGAATTTTGAATTTCTCTTTGGATGCATGAATTTATAGAGGGTCAAGCAAGGCTCAAATGTGTCGTCGCTCTTACACAGGCGTCAGGGCAAAATGACCACAATTACAATCGATTGCAGCATGTCTACGAAGGTATACCAGCTCAAAAGATTGAAAAAGATTTCGTGCTTTACCTTCAAGCTTGATTCCTTTTACAATGAAAGAACTTTATAAAAGGCACCAATGAAGTCAGACAAATTTCTCTTGGTTCAATGCATTTCTTAATTGACGTCATGTATTCCACATGTTTCGTCTGAACACTACATCATTACAGACATTTTAACACAAACTAAGGATTTAGGAGGCACAAAGATACGTTATACGCAACTTAAGCAATCAATAAGGAAGACTGAAAAATTAGGATACAGTAAAAATACAGGATGCACGCGCTTGAACAAATATAGAGAACACTTGAAGAACTAGGATACACTTAAAGAATAGAATAAATTAACTTGCAGAACGAGATAGGACACAATGAAGATAAATAAAGTACCCAAGTAATAACATTTTCCTTTTTTTCAAGATATATCATTCAGAATATGAAGAACAACGTGAATATAATATTACTGCTGTTTGTATTTGCCTCGGCTTGTAGTCAGGTAAATGGTAAGTTCACGTAAATGCTAAACGCCAGTATGTAAAAACAGAGTAGCAGAGAAATATTCAACACAGTTATAATTCTTTTACAGGCTGGGAATGTGTACATGGAAACTGTTACTACTTCAGTGATAACAAGACTACCTGGCTTAAAGCAAGAAAGTTTTGTATGGATAAAGGTGCTGACCTAGCAGTTCCCTTCTCAAAGGCAAACAATGACTATCTTTATTCATTAATGAGTAAAAAAAGCATCAATAAGGCCTTCATCGGATTGTTCAAGACGGCGCCAGGCCTCGGCTCAAAATTCTACACTACCAATGGTCACCTCCCAGTTTTCATCTACTGGGGGGACTTGCAACCCAGTAATTGGGGTGGCAATGAAGACTGTGTCGAGATGATTGCATCTTCTAAATATTATACAGGAGGAAGGCACAACGATATTTCATGTTCCGTTGATCGCCATTTTATTTGTCAGATAGCGGGCAGTTGCAAAGCCGGTAAATGAGTGTAAACATTATTATGAACATTTTAAACTTTCCGATTGACGATATTTTTGTACAAATTGCACAAACAAAACTTCATTTTTTAGTAACAGTAATTCAGTTAAATGTGTTGAAATAAAAATCGATTTCCTCAATTGTGATAATGATTGTAAACATTCTTAAAACTCGCTTAACTTGAAATACTTGCCCGAAAATTTTTTGTTAATACATCTATTGCAATGACCTGGAATCCGATATACCTGACGTCGCAAAAATACTAATGAATAGTTCCAAAACTGACGATGTGTACGGCTAAACCGTGCCTCATCAGCGTTGGTATACACAGTTAAAGAATTGATAGTCTTTCATAGTTTTTAAAATATGTGATAGGATTGGTTTTTTAACTATCTTTTAACTTATTTTGATCGACTGTCTCTTTTTTTGCCAATTTCTAATTCTTTAAAGAACAGAGTAAACGATACGACATTCAACAGTGCGTAGAAAACAGTTCCATCGAGCCATTTGGTTGCCACGTCACGTGACCATATATGACTTTAGTGTTGCATCTTAACTTCGTCGAGGAAAAATGCCCATCAACGTAATGATAAATTTATCACTACACAGAAATTGAAAGGTAAATGTGACAAAATGTCTATTTTCTATTTGATAGTGGTACACGTGATCACATTTTACTGTAAACAAGAACTGACAAAGACGTTAGAACAGTTTGATGTGAATGAACGCGACTATTTAAAAAAAATTTAATAACAATGACGCGATTCCAAAGTTTTTATTAACGGAAGTTTTAATGGGAAGATAAAAATGAAGCAATAGCTATCTGAAATTGCGTACAAAAAATACAATAACGCTGCCATCTAGAAATTTTATCTGATATATCAATATCAGTGGCGGGATCTAGGGTGCATCAATCAACATAAGTTATTAAAGCTTGTTTGGGGTTTAAAAAATACCTTTGATACAACAAGTTTGGAAAAATTTTATTATTTAGAAATTCAAATATTCATTTTTATTTTTAAGGTATTTTGTATTTAAAATTGAGCATCTGTAATTTATTTTGACTAACACTGTATCCGTCATTGTAATATGAAATATTTAATCAAAAAACGTCCACAGACTTAAATAAGGTTATGAACATCATCCAATTTGGCATAAATCAGAGTATAATTTACGTTAATTTCTCTTTTGAATCTAAGTTTCCTGATTATGTACAGCATTGCTCAACAATGACAATTTTGCATCAACTTTTCGAATCAAGTGCTACTTACTGGCTGTATCTTGAATTGTCTTAGAAGCGTAGAACCATATTCCAGTATTTTCAATCATCATTCTAGCATAAGACTGACTAAAACACTTTATCAAAAAACATTGAAAAATAGGTTTTTATAAGAGTTCATAGCTTTAATTAATTGCAATTTTTCTGTGATCTCAGCACGGAGTGACGAAATATACAGCAGGGCAAACTCATTAAAATTTTTTGTTTCAAGCATAACCTGTTACGCAAGGGATTTCTATAACAGCAGTAATATAAATTACTTTTTTGGCCAATATGAATGATAAATAGGCTACAACCGCCGCCTGTAATCTAATTAAATATAGAGTATGTAAGTTATATACCCTGCGATATAGCCTCATCTAAACTCTATATATTCTGTTACCCTATGAGCGCTGTTCTATAATTTTTGCATAAACATTACGAAATTGATCGCGAGTGGTAACAACAAGACGGTTGGCAAACACACTTTTGTGAAAAGTAAGTTTTGGTTTTTTCCATGTTAAATAAATATTCCGAACAATGTCTAGTGACATATAAAATTAAAATGAGTATAATTTACAGCGTTAAATATAAACGCACGTCTTTTTAACTTCACAGTAACTGAGAAGGACTGTTACTGCTAAGGTTGTCGAAACGTCAGTCAACAACAACAAAAACAGTCCTTCTCAGGACTATACCAACCTGGACGATCTACATTTACAAACATGTAACGTTTATAGCGTTGCAATGACGAGCTTTGATGTTAAATTATTGTTTACCAACACCTCAGTTGATGAAACAATCGCTATAACTACTAATCAACTCTTCTCCAATAACATGTCTTTTCAAGCCTTGATCGCTTACAATTTACTTAGCTTCTCTCTCTCTCCGTCAAAAACTGTCATTTCATCTTTAATGGTCAAGTTTATTAACAGATTGATGGTGTGGCTATTGGCAGTCCCCTAGGACCTCTATTTTGCTAACGTCTTCATGTCCTTCAACGAGATTTGATGGCTTCACAACTGTCTCTCCGCTTTCAAAACCCTTCTTTATCAACGTTACGTTGGTGATCGCTTTCTGCCCTTCCGATCATTGGACCACGTACCTCTCTTTCTTATCGACCAACATCCTAACATTTGCTTTAAATCTGAACTTGAAAAAGACGGCACACTCCTTTTTTTGACGTAAAAATAACTCGCTCAAATGGCAAGTGTCCCCCTCTGTTTATCGTAAACCCACATTCACTGGTCTCTTTACCAATTTCATAGTTTCATTCTAATTTAATACAAACGCTCTTTAATCTCCTCTTTACTTCACAGAATTTTCAACCTTGGTTCCAGCTATGAACATTTTCATACTGAAATAGAAGTTGTTAGAAAACTGTTCAACTTAAGCATTTTCCCTTTATACATGTTTGACAATTTTGCTCACTGCTTCTTCAACAATATACTTGAACGCAAAGATCCTATTCACACGTAAATTAACGCCCTGTAAATATATTGTTGTATTTAAAACCTCATGTATAAAATTTATCTCATTTAATCTGATGATGTGTTAAGTTAAAGACGAAACGTAATTGTTTTATTAGAAAAACCTTTTATCTTGCCTTATTTCACTGTTGTGTTGGCTTTTTTAAAAGTCTTATGTTGTGCTGTTATGTTCATGTTGAAAATTCACTTTCCGCCTGGCAAATCTCTGGTCATGTTTTTAGAGGGAGTTAACACAGAAAATTCCGGCTGGCTGCGCCTCTGTGAATATAGAGGTACATTCGTGTACAACGAAGTATGTAACACAGTTCGAATACTCATAAAGATAACAATGATAAATGGAAATTATTCCAGAATAATTATTTCTGAATTGTTGTAATTGGGAATATTCTAGTTCTCAGGTGAATGCAAAGCTCTTATGCTGAGGAGTATTTTACTCAAATAACATGCAACGGTTCTACACAGTACACATAATCCCATCAATTTTTATTACATTTGCGTGATGTTTTGTACTTCGTCATATATTCATCCACAAAAACTTTTCAGCCAATATTTTCGAGTGAAATCCGTTTTAAGAGTAATGTTTGCATGTATAATGACATTGCCAAATTATCTATATGTTTATTTCAATACATTTTACAATTGCTAAAACAAATCACTTTTTCATGCAGTTTTCTACAAATCCAAATCATAGTATAGTTACTCATGCAACTTGTCGTAAAACTTTACACACTTATCTACGAGCTTTGCAACTGCCCGCTATTTGACATATAAAATAGCGTTGACATGTACATGGCAAATCATTATGTTTTCCTTCATTATTTCCATAGATCTCAACACAATGTTCTTTGCTTTTCTGATTATTAGGTTCTCCGCTTGCCCAGTTGATGAAAACCTGAAGGCGACCGTTTGTAGTGTAGAAGTTTGAGCCGAGGTCTGAAGCCGTCTTGAACAGTCCGATAAAAGCACTTTTGATCCCTTTCTTCTTCATTTCCGAATAAAGATAGTCATTGTTTGCCTTTGAGAAAGGAACGGCAAGATCGGCACCTCTATCCAGACAATACTTTCTTGCGTCAAGCCATGTAGCCGTGTGATTACTGAAATAATAACAATTTCCATTGACACATTCCCAACCTGTAAAATGATTCAAATTCAAGTCATAGAATCACTAAAGTAGTAGCAGTTTTCACAAACACATTCCCAACCTGTAAAAGAACACTAACTGTTTTTAATATTTCCGTGTTGAAGTAATTTTATAATCTAAGGATATGTGGAAGTTAAATTAATTTAACATTTAAGAGCACTTACTATTCACTTGACTCAAAGAGCAGGCGAACAAAAACAACAGTAAGAGTACTTTCACGTTGTTCTTCATTTTCTTAATGATGACTTATCTTTAAAACAAAATAGTGTTTTCTATTAATCGTACCTTATTTTTAAATGTATCCTACTTCTTAAAATATGTGCTTTTTTCCTTAGTGTATCTTAATTTTTTTAAGTTCTTTCGATTTATTTCTATGTATCTTTAATGTTTTCTAATGCTTGCATATATTTGCTGCGCACCCTACATCGCATTCCACCTTTAATTGTCAACGATAGAGCCATGTTTACACAAAAGTAAAACAAATTAGTTTTAAATAAATTGTAAACAACAAAACACTAGCCAATCGCATTTATTTTAAATACACAATTCCAAAATAATGAAATATTAAGTTAGGCCTGTGTAGACGTCACTTCCTGTTGAATATTACTTCCGCTTATAATGTTATATATAGAGGACATTTAGATAGGAGGGTCACTTAATAAAAACTCTACATGGTGGCAGTGATGGGATTCTGTCTAAAATGGTAAAGACCAGTGGACAAGAGACGTTGAGATAAATAAGAAATGGCATTTCAAACACAATTTCCATTGCCAGAAAAATTAGATTCGAAAAAGCCCGAAGATTGGAAGCGATGGATTGAACGATTCGAATGTTATCGCATCGCAGCTGGCTTAGACGAAAAAGATGATAAAGTACAAATCAATACTTTGGTATATGCTATGGGAGGCAATACCAATGATCTATTAAAAAGCTTTCAAATAAGCAAAAGAGATATGGTGTACGGAAATGTTGTAGAACAATTTGCATCGCACTTTGTTGGTCGATCGAACACAATTTTCGAGCGTGCTTGGTTCAATAAACGAATACAGGGTGAAAAAGAACCAGTCATCGACTTTGTGTATGATTTGTACGAACTGGCGGAAATTTGCCAATTTGGAACACTGAAAGACGAGTTGATACGAGACAGAATTGTCGTCGGTATACAAAATGCAAACCTTTCACAAAGGCTAATGCAAGATGATAAATTAACATTGGAGAAAGCTATTAGGGAGGTGAAATCATCGGAGCTTGTCAAGCACCATCACGATATTCTAAAGGAGACAGCAAAATGGGATGATTGCTCGCGTAAGAACAAATCGACGTAATGATACGACACAAAAATCGAAGTTAAAATGGAATCAGAATAGGAGTCCCGATCAACATTCGAGCAAGAAAAACCGTCAATGTTCTCGATGTGGAAGATCAACAATTCACAAAAGAGAGGATTGTCGAGCGAACAATAAAACTTGTTTAAAGTGTAATAAACAAGGACATTTTGCAGTGGTATGCAGAAGTAACTCAAGCGCAAAAATTCATTCAGTTGATGACAAAAGCACGGATTCCCCAGGAGATTTTTTTCTTGGGACAATTAACGATATAGAAAATGAGCGAAATGGGCAATCGACTTATTATTAGGAAAGTCTACAGTGATATTTAAGATTGATACGGGCGCTGATGTGACGGTGATTCCAGAACCGGTGTTTATACAAACAGGCATAACACGGATGCAATCAACTAATAACGAATTGTTCGAGCAAAGCCAAATCAAGCAAAGCTCTCAGTAACGGAAAAAATTCGAGCAACATTAAGAACTGCCACTTCAAAAACAACAGAGCAAGACATTTATATTGTGAAAAATTTGAAAGAGCCATTGCTGGGACGTCCAGCTATCAATGCCCTTAATTTAATAGCGACAGTCGAAGCGATTCAGTCAAATGATGCAAGTGATATGGAAGAAGAAGCCTTTGGATAACGTTACAAAATGGGATGACATTGACCTTTTGTAACGTTATAAATATAGCATGGTTTGGAGCTTCTCATTTAGCAGACGTTGATACCTGACGAGTAGTCTGCCGAAATGCATAGTGTCTCTTTCTAGCTGTAAATAACGGTTCCTTTGAATTGTTGGGTTAGTGTTCTGGTTAAAACAGATCTTTTAAGAACTATTACATTGTTATTATCACCATTCACCATGGTATTTGCTATTTTGAAATCCATCTTAAAGTTAAATGAGTGGGTCTTGGCGAGAAATTTATCCACTTCCGAAGATCGAAAGTCTTTTGGCAGAAATAAGAGGATCAAAATATTTTTCGAAGCTAGATTGTAACTCTGGTTTCTGGCAAGAAATACTAAAACAAAACTCTCGTTTGTTAACTACATTTGTTACTCCGTTCGGAAGATTCTGTTTCAACAGAGTGCCTTTCGGTATTAAATCTGCACCTGAGCATTTTCAGAAAAGGATGAAAAGATTCTGGAGAAACAAGATGGTCAATTAAGCATAATTGACGACGTACTTGTTCATGGAAAGACAAAAAATGAACACGACAGTAGACTGAAAGCTGTGCTGAAAAAATTTGACGATGCTGGGGTAACACTAAATCCTAAGAAGTGTGAGTTTGCTAAGAAGATGGTAAACTTTGCTGGTACTATAGTGAGTGAAGATGGAATTAAAGTAGACCCAGAAAAGATTGAAGCAGTACAAGATATGAAAGTCCCACAAAATGTGAGTGATGTGCGAAGATTATTGGGAATGGTTAATCAATTGGGAAAATTCATTCCAAATTTGTCCGAAAAAACAAAACCTATTAGAGATCTATTGAGTACAAAGAATGAATTTCAGTGGGGAGGTGCTCAACAAAAACCTTTTGAAGAGATGAAAACTGAATTAAGTTTTGTACCAGTTTTAGCCTATTATGATTAGTTATTCTTTATATTATTTAAAAAGGGAAGATGTGTAGACGTCACTTCCTGTTGAATATTACTTCCGCTTATAATGTATATACATAGAGGTCATTTAGATAGGAGGGTCACATTAATAAAAACTCTACAAGGCCTTTAAAAAGGGAATTGCTTCATCTAAATGGAGACGACCGTTCAAAAAGCATGACTTAAATGACAAAAGGCAACCGCTTTAAGCAATCTCGCTTCACAAAGATTCAATTGTTGTCATGCTTGTTAACTGAACTAAACTTGCTCACAGCCACATCTGTAATTGATTCCAGACCTCAGCAATCACGTACATAGCACGTAGACACCGTGTCATATTAAACTGACACTTTTACTAGGCAAATTTTTTGAAAAGTCTGTAAAAATTTCGTTTGGTATAATTGTTGCCATTTGGCAAAACTACCTAGTAAATGGTTAATGGTTAAAGCGTCCGGAAAAGTTTGGCATCCTCATTTTAACTTTATCATTTTTGTCAAGAGAATAAAATTTACCTTAGGCAGATTTAGCTTACTCTCAAGTCATAATAATAGCTAATTTAAAACAAAAGTATTCCGAAAACGAGTCCCTTCGTCCCTTAATTCAACATTTGAAACTGAAAAACACTTCTTCTCATAGTAACCAATAAAAGACTTCTTATAACAAACAGAAAGCTTAGGTAAAAATATCATTGCTTGAAACATCTTTTTTCTTGTATTTTTGCTTTCACTTCTTAACGTGCAAGATATAAAATGAAGTCAAAACTTATAGGCATCTTTCGTCTATTATCTTTCCTACGTCAACTTTGCTTTCATTTCCTTACCCAATATGTGTCTGCGTATTTGTGAAGTAGATTTATAACGATAAACTAGGTATTCCAATGTAGCTTCCCAATATACGTAATAACTCTTGATTCAAATCTTTCATGCAGTTGCAATGTAGTCTGTCCCGCACAATTTGCTCTCCACTAATGTAAGCTTGAATTATTTCAAGTTGCAGTTCAGCTGTCCGAAAACCAAACTAATTAAATTTTGTTTAATTTGCTTCTCATTGTTTAAAAACTTATCGTATTGTTATTAGTTCTGCGCTTATGGAAATAATTGCTTCGCATGTATAATAATATGTGTAACTGTGTCCTCTCTTAATACAGTCCTCCCTGTCCAAGAAAAGCTTCTCTGTTACTGTATAATGAATATGGAATAATCTCGTCTGCATTATATTTCACTACTTTAAGTCATTCCTTTTTTTTAGGATTGAAGAACTCTAAACGATTATATGACAATATAAAACTCCCAATCCAATAAAGAGCAACACTGGAAACACCTGCTTTGCAAGACGTCACTAGATAAACCTATGAATGTTTAATCGTGAGATGCGATGTTTCTAAATATCGAGCCGCTTTAGAATTCATCTCATACACACACATACAGCTTGACAGAATAGGATGCTCAAGAAAACAGAATATAGTAAGATTGCATCTTGTTTAGGAGAGGAAATTTAAAGATAACTAAAGATAAATAGACTGCACATGTAATAGGTAGTACTCTCCAGTCAAGTTGAAGATACATCATGGAAAAAATGAAAAACAACGTGAAAGTACAGTTACTGCTGTTTGTGCTCACTTGTCCTTGGAGTCTGGTAAATGGTAAGTGATCTTAAATGATTAACCGCGCCAGAATTTTCCAGAATATATAATAGGTTTCCCAGTGAAATATTGGAAACAATTTGAATCATTTTACAGGTTGGGAATGTGTCAATGGAAATTGTTATTATTTCAGTAATCACACGGCTAGGTGGCTTAATGCAAGACAGTATTGTCTGGATAAAGGTGCTGACCTTGCAGTTCCCTTCTCAAAGGCAAACAATGACTACCTCTATTCAATAATGAGTAAAAAAGGCATCAATAAGACTTTTATCGGATTGTTCAAGACGGCTCCAGGCCTCGGCTCAAAATTCTACAAAACCGATGGTCATATTCAAGATTTCTTTTACTGGGGAAACATGCAACCCTGTAATTTAGGTGGCAATGAAGATTGTGTCGAGATGATTGCATCAGACCCATTTTATACAGGAGGAATACATAACGATGTGCCGTGTTCCTATGAACGCCATTTTATTTGTCACATAGCGGGCAGTTGCAAAGGCGGTAAATGAGTGTGAACATTTTTAGACATCTTAACTGTCTGTATCGATATAATTATCTAAACAATTCTTAGTATTTATAGAAAACTGCGATAAAAATTGTCTTTTCATCTGCTCCATGTTAGTAATATACAGCTATTGAAATAAAAAATTATGTCAATTTTCATTAAGAATGATACATACAGTATTTAGTTACTTGAAATGATTGGATACATGCAAAGTTCTTGAGGATGTATTTAATGCAATTTTATAGAAACCAAATTAGTAAATACCCGACTCCACTAAACCTATTGCCATCTTTAGGAGTGACAAAACTTGCAATTCATACGACTGAAATATGCTTCGTTGGCATTGATATATAGTTGAAAAGCCGGAGGTGATAGTATATGTCTGGTTTTCCCAATATTGTTTTTGTTAAACGTAGTTAAACGTCCAGTTTTTCGTTTAGCCTGTACAAGTGAAAATAGCGTACTTGTCTCACCTTGACAAGGTTGTCAGGCATCCATAGGATTGATTGATGTTGTAAAATTACATGACGAAAATGGAATGAAAATTAAAATGGATTTATGGGTACTAAGGCTGCATTTTGTTTCAGTTTATTCCCGTTCAGAAAATCCTTGACCTTCGCTTGGGGATGGGATTATGGGAATACGCAGTATTAATAATCCAAATATATTGTAATAAAGGCCTTTTATCCTTGTCACCTTTATCGCTTTATGAATATTCAAAAGATGTCATACGCTTGTAGTTTATGCGCACGTTCTAACAATATAAAGGATGATTGAAAGTAATTAATTAAAGCCATATTTTTTACTTCCTTCAGTTTCTTGTACACGAATGTTACTCCAAATCACTCGAAATTTTAAGTCCATTCGACAATTTTTCATCCGTGTCACAAATGTGTAAAAGAATATGGCAAAAAAGGTTTCTGTGAAACAAGTAAAGTATAATGTGGGACGTGACACTGTGGCTGTGAGCAAATAAGTAAGCTTTCAGCTTGCATTTCATACATGCTTTTGGTGGTGCTGTGTGTTATGAGATTTGTGGTCGATGCTATATCCAGTTTAATATACATATATCAATTCACTGCGAGCTTTGTTCTTGTCAACAAGAGCACGTTTTGCCGTCCATATTTTTTACTATGCTAAAATTTAGTTAAAAGCATTGGGTGGCATAAATAATTTACAACAGCTGTTATAATTATCCAATAGACACGTTCAATTGCATCTTGCGAACGCAAGTCGAATAGTCACGTATTGATTTTTAAAAGTACACGCGATTAAGTTGCCTTAAATGCCTAACACATTGACTACTATATTAGCAACTGCCATCATTGGTTCATTTGGCTCAAGTTAGGCAAAAAATGTAGTCCAGATAATGTAAAGTTGGATGAAATTCGTTTAGGTTACGCAAAATAGGGAAGTTGGGCGAAATATCATCTTGATAAATTCAGTACTAACTGGACTGCGAACCGCAAAACATTAGAATCAAGGAACTTATAAGTTTTCTGTCTAGTATTTTACAGTTTAAAATCTAACTCATATTACTGTACGAATTTCACAATAGGCAACTGCCTTACTTTCTTACCCCTTCACAAAGGCGGCGGAACATCGATGATTGGGGGTATTCTTTATATATGCATGTTTTACTTTATTAGTTTCTATTAGAATCAATTGTGTTTACGGATTACAACATATGAATTTATGAATATAGCCCCCCTCAATTATCAATGTTCCGTCCCCACTGCCCCTGGAATACTCCCTCCCCGCTAAAGATCTGTAACTTCTTTGGGTAAAATGTCCCGCAACATCAAGAGGATTGGTGCTCTAAATCATGGTACAGGTTACAATTTTCAGTTTGATAGCGATACAAGTAAAAAATCTTTTAGTGAACAAAAATTTTCGAAAATGTTAGAAATGTTTTAAATGAATGAACGCCATAATCCACAAAAATTGAATTCCACTGACGCGATTCAAAATGAAACATTGATGGAAGACCAAAGAAGAAAAGAATTCATTATGTGAAATTATGGATAAAGTTGAAACAACAATCGCAAGATTACTATTTTGTTAGTTAAATATTTTTTATGCAATAGGTGGTGTGCAACCACTCCCTTGAGAAAGAGAGAACAATGGAATTTTTGCCATGTTGGATGACATTTGCGTTGTAAATAAGGAAAAATGCTTCGTTAAAATTATTCAAAATGGCAGCCATGACATAACTTGCACACCATGAAAAGCTACATCAACTTTTTAAAAGCAAACCCTCTTACTTGGAAATGTTTCCTGTTATATTCAAATGTTAGTAGTAAATCAAGGGTACGTGAAAATAAAATTACTGAAGTTCATACGGGTTTGTTCTCATTTCCAAATACCTTCGAGGCAACACAATTGGTAAAATTTTGCTATTTAGATACTAAATTTTATTATTTTTTAAGATTATTAATTGAGCAGCTATATTTCATTTTGAATATCGCTGGATTCCCCATTGTAATATGAAATATTTCATTTGAACAAATTAAAAACAAGGCTCAATAAAATTGTCATTAAAATTCAAGCTTTTATTCAAGTGCAGTTTAATGTGAACAGACAGTACACATCGTCCTCTATCTTCTGTCATTTTGAAACATATCAGTGGCGACATAAACAAACAGTTTCTCGTCCACTTTTCAGCCAGATCAAACGGCGTAAATTATAGCTATTTTAAAATTACAAAGTAATACATTTTGTTGAACGCAGTTAATTTATGCAAACGTTCTCACAGATTTGACGTATGCTGGACGAGCTTTTTTTTTCATACACCATATATACATCATGGTCCATAATGTAAGTGAATGCAGATTTAAGTACGTTTGCACTCATAGTCACAACTTATATATCTTTCAATGCATTTTACTAAAATCATAATCAGATTTTTCAATCGGCTTTTTCACGCTTAGAATCATATTTGAAAATTATTGCAAACACGCGCAAAACTTGTTTACTGACTTTGCTACTACCAGCTATCTGACAAATAAAATGACGTTTCAAATCAAATAAATATGGTAAAGTTGTTTAACGGTAAAAGTTTCCAAGCATTACTATGCAGACGCCATTTTACAAAGACTAATTTATTCAATGGTAACGAGTACTATACATTGAACTAAAATACATGGGACGCTACATCAGGCAAATAATAGATAGATTTAGATTTGAGGACGCGACGTCTAAGACGACGTGAGTTGACCGAGGTGGTCTGGATCGACGACGCCGTCGTCCTTCATGTGAAGAGCGAGTTAGATTTTAAGAGAAGACGACGAGTTTTTACGAAAAAGAATTTCATCGTTTATGCGATTTTACTGAGTTATTTAGCATTTGTTTCTATAGTCGCTGATAAGACAAGAGATTATGGAGGAAAAAACAACACTTTAGTTGAGAATAATAGTTGGTTTGCACGGATAGAAAAACATAATATATTTCTTTTAACTTACATTCATTTTGTTTATTACAGTACTGCTATTTCATGGCATTTGAATCAGATTTGCTATGGTAAATTTGAGTTGTAGATTGGTTTATGTTGATTGTATTAAATATAGCGCAAGTATTGACAAAACATCATAAAAATAGCGTACAAGACACGCCACATTTCAATAAAATGTAGATCTTCATTTTTAAAAGCTGCTTTCTCTAGTTTGGATTATGATTTAAGGTCAGCATTGCAAACAATAGAAGGAAAAATTTATCTAAAACAAAATAAAAACGAAATTATTTATGTTGTTGATTGTTTACATGAACAACAAAGTATGCATACATTATGCATCTTATTATTTTGGTAAATTTGAATGCAAAAACACACAAAATTTAGCTGAATTGCTTCAATACTAAACTATGAATACATACAAGTTATAAATTCCATAGAATGTTCTTTCGCTTGTTGAGCTAAATCAAGCCGCATTTCATCAAAAGTCAAACATAGCTGATAGCTTTTTAAGAACATGCAAATTTTGGACACTCTGATGATTGGGGAAATTTCGGATGAAATCTAAGTCTTACACCCAGACACGCGTGCTTAGTGTTTCGAGATTCTCTCGCGGAGTGAAATTAATTGGCTACACACGCGTGTCTGGAAGATTTGGCTTCATAATTTATCTCGCTTTTCTATTACAGGCAGTGTTCTATGTAAGTTAATTCAATGGTAATATACAATTTTATCACATATATTGCCACATCGGTATTATAATTTATTTATATTTCTTATTTATTGTCATCATAATTTTACCTGCTTCCTGTATCCTTCAAGCAAAACTGGCTGCATCCAAGAATGTTTTCGATCTTGCATTGTGATGCAAAGACGTAAAATAATTTTTGAGGGGTGATAGGAAAGCTATTATTCAGCTAGTTATTGCTCAACACAACACAAAACGAAAGCAGTGTAACACTGTAAAGATAAAATCGCTTTAAAAGAGTTTCAAATCCTATTTTGCCTTTTGCATGGGAAGATGTACGAGAACTTAGGAAGAAAAACAATTGGCTGTCAAAATAACAATGACTGTTTTATATGTAACATTATTTTCTTTTTACATAAACGAAATGGTTTCATGTTTTTGTGTGTTTGACGGTGTGATGGATCTTGAATGATACAAGCAGCAAGCTCATCTTTCAAATGGTTCGATACATGTCTATTACGATCAAATTTGCAATCATCAGTCAGAAATACTCAATTGTACTGAATACGTTTAATAAAAAAGTGGGACAAGAAAAATCTGTGCATTGATAGCTTATGAGAGCTTCTTTGACATCAAAAGTCAATTTCGAAAGTGTTATTAAGGCCATGTTTACATTACACCGAATTGCATCGTCGCGCCGTGATTTTGGTATCGGATAGGGTGGGCTGTTGTCTAAACTGCGTCGGATAAATTCCGCATCTCTAGTGTAGCGGAAATCGTTTCGCCCTGAAGATGAGACGAAAGCAATAATGCGTAATACAGAAACTTTAATAGTTCAATTTGCGTAACATTTGACATTTGTTACGCCCAGAATTTCACAATGATTGCTATTTATCTTACGAGATCAACGGTAGTCCGGATTGTGCCTGCTATTTTTGATATTACAGGGTATCATTCATATATTGTTCAAGTATTTTGTTCATCTTTTGTTGTATCCCGCACCTTTCCAGTCGATGACGTTGTTGAACTTTTGC